CACAGGCTCATTTCTGCTGCCAGGCCCTCAGACCCCAATGTTTAAACTCACACAAGAACAGGCAACATCCAGTGCTCCAGAATTCAAACAGCATTGATGGGCTTTCTGCTTCTCATTGAAAAAATAAAAGTACATCCTGGGGACCGGATGTACTCTCATCCGGATGCCTCCTCAATTCGTTCTGTTCTGATGTAAATTCTTTTCCTCACTTATTGTCACTTCAATCCTGAACTAAATTAAAAATAATAATAATAACAGAATGGAAGACATTAAGACCTCAGTAAATATTTGTAGCATAATGATTAGAAGAACAGGCTGTAGCCAATTTTGCTCCTCTCTGCTCACCTTTCAGAGCTTGAGTTTCCTCACATATGAAATAGGGAACAATGATACCTGCCTCAGGGTTTTGTGAAAAATAAGTGAGACAAATATATATTAGTAATAAGGCTGACATTAATTGATCACTTATTAGATGCTAAGTACTCTGGTTAGGGCTTTGTGTAGATTATCTTAACTAATTGGCCTTATCATAGCCAGGGCTTAGCATAGAGTCAACGCTCAAGAAATGAGAGCAAGAGTTATAAAGATAATGATCATTATCACCAAAGTACAAAGAGCCCATCTTCACCGCCCTTGGCAGCATGTTTGTACAGTCATACTCCCTTTCACAAAGCTAGAGCACCCGTCACTCCCCTGTCCCTCTTAGGTTCCTCTCCTTCTAGCCACACCACATCTTCTAAGCACACTGTTCTCAGGAAAAGAGAATCAGTTTCAGAGTCTTTGGGAGACTGCATCGATCCTTTATTGTGGCCTGGCCTGTGATGTCTTGTGACACTGAACAAGCTGCTTTTAGTTTCATGGTTTCCCATCTTCAGAATGTGGTTATGATGTAGCTACCCATTTGTTGTTAGTACTTTAGGATCATGGGGAGAAAGATATAAGCTTACCTCAGAGATATATTGTGGGTTCTGTTCCAGACCATTGCAATAAAGCAAGTATCCCAATAACATGAGTCACATGATTTTTTTGGTTTCCCAGTACATATAAGAGTTATATTTTACACTATAATGTAGTCTATTAAGTGTGCAATAGCATTGTGTCTAAAAAATGGACAAGCCTTAATTTAAAAATACTTTATTGCTACAAAACGCTAACCATCATCTGAACATTCAGTGAGTCGTAATCTTTTTGCTGGTGGAGGGTGATACCTTCTATTTGTGAAAACACAATATCTGCAAAGCACAATACAATGAAACACAATAAAACATGGCATGCCCGTGTAGTTTGCAAACACAAAGAAAGGTGTTTTGGGCCCACTCTGCATTTGAAAGACTGGTGTGGGAAATAAGCGAGGTAAGGAGTGGATGCTTAGCTCTGGCTAAGAAAGCTCAGAAAAACAAGTTCCAGAAGCCAGTATGCTGTATCCAGAGCTTCGCACAGCAACCTGGCACATGCTAGGTCCTCAAGAAACAATTTTTCGGTGCTAAAGATAATTTATGATTTTAGCTCAAGGACTTGTTCTTCTCGTCTGCTGCAACTCAGGGATGAACTGCTTGCCACCCGTGTCTCCCTGCAGCGACCCCAGACCTGGAAACTGGAACTAAATGCCACATGCCATTTGTTTTCCTTAGGAAATTAAAAAGTATAATTGGTGCTAGTTTATGCCACACAAGCTTTAATTGTTTGTAGTGTATTTCCTATTCCCTGTACTGCCATACCTTCCGTAAGATACTTTTCCCTTTGAATTGTCCTCTGGAATCTGCAAGGCCAAGCTGAAGTTTGGGGATCATATTTTCTAAGGATGAGTGGTATTAGGTTGTTGTCTCATCCAGATCATTTGAGCAGCTTCTTTTCATTCATGACTATATGGGACTTACTGCCTCACTGTCCTCTCCCCCCACACACTTTGTTTCTGCCTCCCAAATGCCCCTTTTTGTTCCTCATATGTCCATCTCTCAAAGACCACTTCTTGAACTATAAACTGAATCCAATGCCAGGGCCAAGCTACCGGAAGAGATCCGCAGGTGCGAAGCATCAAAGGAAGCTAAATAGCAAAGAGATGGACTTGAGCTCTCTAGAAGTTCCTTGTAAAGTAAAGTGGGCCCCCAGCTAACCACTTTTGAATCCCTCACAATAGCTTCAATTTTATTTTGTTAGTTTGAAGTCTTCTGTAAGAGGGTTGAGGATGATGACGTTCATCTTTAAAATAGGAATTATTCCACATTATAGGGTTGTTATAATAATTGTGAGGATAAAGTCAAATAATGAATGTGAAGTGGGTTTTAAAAACAGTAAATGCCACCAAATGTCAAGTAAAATTTTTCTAAATAGCATTTGGGCTTTATAACAAACAGCACTTGCCAAGCTCTGTCTAGAAGTATAATTAGTTGCTTATTCCTTCTTGGGGAGGCCCTGCTCGCCCTGAACTCTGTAGCAAAGTTCTCAGGTGGACCGTGGCTTTTATTTGTAATTCCACCAGTCCCTGTCATACGACATTTTATGTAGTGGCCACTTGGTCAGTGCTTCTTCACCTGGGTAACTTATAATAAACTACTATTGTCTTGGTCAAACTACCTTTTTTCTAAGACTGTGGCACTAATTGAGAAAATTCCAAGTGACTGAAAGTTTTTTTTTTTGTTTATTTTGGGATTTTTTTGTTTGCTTTTTACCCAAGAGAATAAGAGTCACAATGTGTGTTTACCCAAGACCTGGCATTTTAATGGTACCCTTTTAACTAGTTCACTTTTGTATGAAATGTTAGGAATAGAGATTCAGATGTAAGAAGTGCCACAAACTGAAGAGCTGAAGAACTGAGTTTCATGAAATCAGTTTAATGCCACTGAGGGTGAAATAAGAGAAAAATAGAACAGATCTCTGAATTGTTTAAGTCCACTTTGGAGTGCTTTTGGTCTCTTCTAGGATTTCCTGGAGACTGTGGACTGTTATTCACCATCCACATATGCCTATATAAAAATATACCATCTATAAATAGCCACCTGCCTTTTCAGTGAAATTAAAGATGGGAGAGTTGGAAGAGAATTTCCCAGTATAATTAAACCTACTGGGAAATTCAGTAGGTTCAAACCTACAGCTGTTGCACTCTTATAGTTCTGCCCAGAACATTTCTAATATCACTATTTTCTATCAAGTACATTAAAAAAATTTCTGCTTTTTCTTTAATGGTAAGAGACATTTATTTCTTGCCAAGATTTCTCACATACCTACTTTAAAAGATTAGGTGTTGTGTGCGATTATTGTGTAGACTAATTTTGTTTTATAAACTGCAGAAAATTTTCACAAGTGTTTCTGCTCCTTATCTAGGGATTAACACCAAACTCCTGCCAATGTTTTTCTTAACCTTTACATGTGCCCCTTCACACACACTCTCCCTCACATATTTTCTGCTTAGATGTGTCCCCTTAAAAATCCCTGGGCTTCTAAAATTGTTAGGCAAGGATCAACTACATGAGGACACACCACAATGTGAAGTGAATTAAACTGAGCACTTTTATCTTTGCTTACAAAAAAGCAGGTGGTAATTTATTCATACACGGTCTTTGTTCCCTCACTAAAGAGCAATGCTCTTCAATCTTTGAGAGCCTCGGAGGACCCGGCAGTGCTGAAAAGAGGAAAGGGACACATTTATAGGAGTAGTCACGCAGCTCTCCCCACAGAAGGGTCTAAGTGCCTTTAGCAGTTAATTTGTGAGCAAAAAACCCTGTTGGGAGCTTTCCACCTACTCTAAAAGCAAACATTCTTAACAAGCGGTATTAGTATGGTGTTAAAAAAGGCATGCGTTAACCTAAAAGGTGTCATTTTATGAGCAAAAACTGGATAAACCTTAAGAGACTTGAAGTTGCTATTTTTTCCCTTCCTTGATGCCCAAATCTTCACAGGTTAAGATGACCTCACACCCATTGTGATGAAAACCCAGGAGGATCTTAAAGCTGCTTTGCCTAGAGTGCAGCGGCGTGACTTCCTCCTCCTGGGGAGGACCGTCTGTCACTGGTTTTCATTTTGTGTGTTTGTAAAACACACCAGCCATGTGTGTGAGCCTGTTAATTAAAACAAAAACAGAACTGTTTCTGTTGAGCTTTAGAAATACAGAAACTTAGAGCCGAAGAAGGGAAGGAAAACAGCAGCATCCAGTCTGCTGCTGGGTCTCCACAGCTGCCCAAGAATGAGGCGACTACATAATGAAAAGCCAGGGAAGAAGCACCTGAATTAAAGAAGAGAGGCCGGGGGTGGGGGTGGGAGCAAGCTAGTGAGGCTTGGAATTGGAAGTATTCAGAGTGCCTTTATCATTTCCCTGAGAGACTGTTAATATCAAAGTGCCTGGAGAGCGAAGGCTTCTCAGTCTAATCTGATTCCAAAGTTAGCCTCTCGGACAAGAGGAAAGAATAGCTTTGGTGACTTCTGAGGCTATCCTGGGGTTAGGCATAGAGTCTATTCCTGCCAAAGCTGCTGAGTCACTGCCACCTTCACTGTCACCTCGGTGAATCACTTGACCTCTGGTTCCGTTGACCTAGAAGGTAGAGTGAAGCTAATAACTGAGGAATGCTCCATATGCGAGGCTCTGGGTATCTGGAATTGTCTGCTGACTTTCCTGGCCAACCTGAAGCCAAAGGACTTAAGTATTAACAATTTAGATAAGGTTCATCAGGATTAAAAAAAAAACAACAACAAAAAACCAACAAACAACCTCACTGAATTCTTCCCAAGAAAAGCAGACCAAAAATATCTTTTAGTCCTCTTTCAGATACGTACTTCACCTCTGAAGGGTAGTAAAAACATGGATCAGATAGCACCTCTTTAAAGGAGATGCTTATTCTGTACCTTCAATAAGTTATCCAAAGCAGAATGTGAAAAGGCTTAGGGGAGTGTGTGGTAGGTGGTATGGAGGGAGGCAGGAAGCAGCAACAACAGAAAAATATTAAGGGACAGTTAAGGCATTCATTACACTGTATTTTAAAAGGCAAGGAAAAAAGACCTCACTAATCTATCACCTCTTCCTCTTTGAGAGACCGTCCAATGGTGTCCCTCCATACCTTGCTTGTAGTGCTTTGGCTTACTGATATATAGGCACCGTAGACTAAATAAATGTTCAGTCTGTATTTTAAAAAAAATTTATTTGTGATCTGTACATGTGATAAAGTGGGGCTTCCTTGTAGACTTTTAAAGGCAAAACAAAACAAAAATCCAAAGTAAAAATGTATAAATACAATATATATTTTCTTACAAAAATGGGAGATTTACAAAATATACATACTGCACTTGTCTCTATTTTACAAATTTCACATGCAAGAGATACAACACAAAAGATCCTGAAAAATTGCTTGGTGGGGATTTTAAAATTTTGACAAATGAGACAGTTGGGGAGGTTTAAGAAACACAAGGTCAATGTTACCTCAAATATAAAATGCAGCTCCACTCAGCTGAACACCAGGTTATATAAAGTAACTTCTATTCCTGACAGTACCTTCCATGATTTAAAAACTGTTTAAAACAGCACTTAAAAACTGTCTTGAGAAATAGGACAGTGTTGCAAGATTGCAGGATGGTGTCAAAGGTGGAGTAAAGGTTAGTTCCCGTGATTCTCTGCTCAGCTTTAGACCATTATGCAAAAGAATCAGAGCTCTATTATAGAAAAAAAGGTACATGATTTAAGATTAATAAACTTAAGTCACCCAGCACATTTCAAAGAACTCTAGAATTACTTTGAAGTTTACCTTCTTTTAATGATTTTCCTTAAAACGGGGGGCCCATGATTTGAACTGTCCTCTTCATTCACTATCATTTCTGTAGGTCACCTCCCCACCCAGCCCTACAAAGACAGGGTCAGCATACACATGATGTTTTATAAATGGATTTGTAGGACTACGAAAACAGGACAAAAAAATGTTTTTTGTTTTTCCTTTTTAAATTTAACTTTCCTGTATTACGGAGGCCGAGACATTATGCTCTTCCTTTTAGCTGGAAGGACTCAAATTGGAAAAAAAAAGAAAACCTAAATGTAGGGTTATAGGAAGAAAAAAAATGAAGTGAGAGATAATCCTAAACATTTTAGAGCTCATTGGATCTTGCGTTCTGAATTAAATTTACATAAAACAAACAACAAAACCCTTTGCATTTCCTTTAGCCAAGTCAGAACCTCTGACCCAATGGGGGTATGGAAGCACAGGGCCTCTCACTTTTCCTTAAAAAGGAATGTTTATCTCAATCAAATTATCATCCAAAGAGAGACCTCAGATTTGCTCTACTTTGCCTATAAAAGTTGCTGTCTTCACAGTTATGCCTTTCCACAGAGAGACACTTTTGTTTCCTCTTTTGTCTCTTACAACAAAGACAAGGGGAAAAAATGCATTCCTGTTCTGAAAAGCAACAAGTCATCACTTCTTTTCAGGGTATTAAACTGAATAAAACACCCTTTTCTTTCTCCTGCCTTCCACAGAAAATTTTAAAAATAGCAGAAATACCTACTACTCATCTCCTTTGCATCATCTCCAAAAGCTATCTTCATTTCTTTTGCATCCTCACATTAGGATTCTAGGAGGCAGGCCTCCCAAGACTTCCAAATACTTATTTTAGAAGACTTGAAAGGAGTGGGGTGGGTGGGGGGAACCAGGCGGAGGGGGCAGCGGAGGAGAAACTGTAATGTCTGACCCTGGAAATTAACCCATCTGGGCTCCAGTTTGGCCCCAGTGAAAAGAGATTATGGTTTGACCACCGCTTGACAAGGGCACCGCAGGGAGTCCTCCCTTTTTCCAACAAAGCAGCCGCCGCAGACAGAGCTGTACCTTTCACCCGGGCCTCACAGGATTGAGGACAGGCCACTTTTCTTGCAGCAGGGAAATCGCTCAGTCCCACTTCAGCCGGACCTGGGAAGAACTCAGAGCAATCTCTGCTGGTCTCAACCTTCTAGACTGGCCCAGGTCGGTCCGTACCGTATATGATAAACATCATCATTATTAGTTTTATTATCATTATCCTGCAAGTCTTTGCCAGAAGTCTTTTCATCCAAACCGTCTTTCCACTTGGGCCTCCTTTTCAAACCCACCCCTCGTCCCATACCTACATAAGTCTTCTCACTTCCACGTCACTTCTCATTGGAGGGGGAGGAGGTTACAGAAACAAGCCCCCCACCCAGAAGTTCTTTCCCTACTGCGCCTTTCTCTCCCTTACAGAGTGGAGGAAGGGAGGGTGGGGGAGGGGCCGGGGCTCATACCGCAGTCTCCCCCTTGCTGCTGTGGCTGAGTCTGTGGTAGAAGCGGCGCCACGACTGCAGGGTCTTGCCGGACCAGATCCAGAAGCCAGTAGTGATGCCCACGATCATGGTCATCAGGTACTTGATCATGAAGACGGTGAAGTCGGGGCTCATGGGTGGGAAATGGCCGGGAGGGCAGGGCACGGCATAGCTCTTGCAGGTCTGCAGGAGCCAGGTGCGCTCCCAGTGTTCGCGGAAGGCCTGCTCGTAGAAGTAACAGGCCAGGACGATGGTAGCTGGCACGGTATAGAGCACGCTGAAGACGCCGATGCGTACCATGAGCTTCTCCAGTTTCTCTGTCTTGGTGCCGTCGTGCTTCATGATGGTGCGGATGCGGAAGAGCGACACGAAGCCAGCCAGCAGGAAGGACGTGCCGATGAAGAGGTAGACGAACAGGGGAGCGAGCACGAAGCCCCTCAGCGCGTCCACGCTGGACAGGCCCACGTAGCACACCCCGCTGAGTAGGTCCCCGTCCACCTGGCCCATGGCCAGGATGGTGATGGTCTTGACCGCGGGCACCGCCCACGCGGCCAGGTGGAAGTACTGCGAGTTGGCCTCGATGGCCTCGTGGCCCCACTTCATGCCGGCCGCCAGGAACCAAGTGAGCGACAGGATGACCCACCAGATAGAACTGGCCATGCCGAAAAAGTAGAGGACCATGAAGAGGATGGTGCAGCCCTCCTTCTTGGTGCCCTGCGCCACCGTGCGGTAGCCGTCATCTGAGAAGCGCTCCACGCACACAGCTCGGTCCTCCAAGAGGAAGCCGGCCACGTGCGCCACCGCTACCATGAAATAGCAGCCCGACAGGAAGATGATGGGCCGCTCGGGGTAGCTGAAGCGCCGCATGTCCACTAGATAGGTGAGAACAGTGAAGAGCGTGGAGGCGCAGCAAAGCACCGACCACACGCCCACCCAGAGGCGGGCGAAGCGCCTCTCTTCCTCTTTGAAGTACATGAGGCCGTTAGCGCGGCCAGGCTCGCACGGGGCCCCGCAGTCGCGCTCGCCCAGGAAGCGGTAGCCCAGGTAGGGGGGGACCTTGAGCTGCCGGGGACACGAAAAGGGAAAGGCGGTACGGCCCCTGCCGTCAGCGGCCCCCGGGGGCAGCGCAGTGAAGGGGAGGTCGGGCATGTAGGGCGCCGTAGGGTAGGCGGTAGGGCCACCGCCTGGGCCCCCAGAGCCATCGGACGTGTTCTGGCCCACGCAGATCTCGCCGGCGCCGTGCACCGGGAAGTTCTCGCAGCGTAGCCGCTCCGGCCACTGGAAGCCGAACTTGTTCATGAGCGCTTCACAGCCCTGGCGGGCTCGCTCGCACAGAGAGCGGCACGGCGGAATGGCCTTATCCAGCACGGTGCACACGGGTGCGTACATGGAGCACAGGAAGAAGCGCAGCTCGGGAGAACACTGCACCTTCACCAGCGGGTAGAACTGGTGCACCTCGAGGCCCGCGTCCTCTTGGTTGGTGTGGCCCAGCAGGTTGGGCAGGATGGTCTGGTTGTAGGCGATGTCCGTGCACAGCGGGATGGAGATAAGCTGGCAGAAGCCGTGGTCCGGCACCGAGATGCCCTTCTCGCCGTGGTACGGCTGCGCCCCGGCGCCCGCGGTCAGTGCGCCCAGCAGCGCAAGCACCAGGGTGCACAGGCCCACGGGAGAGCGCGGCATGGCCACGCCGGGGCCCCGCATCACCGGTCGTGGGTTAAGCGGCGCTCTCAGCTGGAGTAGCGCGATGAGGCGGCCAAGAGAGGCTTGGATCCGGGGAGGCGCCACCGCGCCGGGCTCATGAGAGTCCTCCCGGCGCCGGGGCCGGGCCGTGGGCGGCGCGGAGCCGAGGGCGCTGCAGCTGCGGTACCCGCGCCGCGGGGGCGCCGCGGCCGCCTCCACCCAGCAGTCGTGCGGCCGCCGGGGGCCCAAACTCGTTGGCTCGGGCCGGGGGCGCCGCCTTCTCCTCCTGCCGCGACGTAACGGTGCGGCTTTTTCTGCGGCGAGGAGCAACAAGCGTCTCCAGTTACTACCCTTGAAAGTTTGTCTAAGTCTCCCGACCCACAGCGCACAGCAATGCGCGCGCCCCCCACACCAAGTCCAGCCCCCCGCAGGGGAGAGCCCAGCGTCGCCGGCTGCTGAGGCCGCCGCCTCGGCGGTGCTGCTCCGCCTCCTCGCCTCCGCTCACCGCCGCCTCCTCCTTCGCCTCCTTCAACACTCCCCGCTCCTTCTTCAGGTCCAAAAGCTCGGCTCCAAGTTTCAGCCAAACGGCTGATTCTCGCTCTGAGTCCGATCGGTGCTTTGGAACCAAGAGCTCGGCGAGTTCTTTTCTGAAATACAGTTACACCGTGTCCGAAGCTGTGAGGTCCGGGTGCTCGCGGCCTGGGCCTGGCCTCTCCAGCCCCACGCAGCCCTGGCCCGCGAGTCCCGGGGCCCGCCGCCGCCGCCCGCCCGGAGAGAGCGCAGAGTAACGCCTCGGAGCCGCGCAACTCGCCTGAAGAAGCGTCGGGATCGCAGGGTTCCGGGCTGTCCCGCCCCCTCCCCTCCCCCCATTCACAAACCACTCCGGGGGCGGGTCCTCGAGTTTCAGGGCTGCCCAATAGTAGCGTTTGTTTTCTGTGTGGCCGCCTCCGCATTGGGTGGAAGTCGGAAGGGGTAGGCGAGGGAACCTGAGAGGCGGTGTCTGCAGCGCTCTGGGCGGATTCCTGAGGGGAGGGGCAGGGGGCTGGGAGAGAAAAGTTAAGAAAAACTTTTACCCTGAATTCGCTCAGGGGTGGGGGGAGGTATACGCACCAGAAAGGAGGTTTGCTAGAAAGATTTGTTCCTTTTCCTAGTACACTATAATACACATTCCTGAATGGCGCATCGGGGTAGACTTTTGCAGGGAGAAGCAAGCTGAGAATAATGCAGAGCCTGAGCACGCAGAGACGTGACCGGGAGTCACGTTAGCCCTGCTTGGTCTGAAAATGCCGGGTTTCGCCAGGACTCTTAGGTAGTTGGATTCTAAATGTAGGGTTCGGTATGGAGCAAAAGAGGGTGCATCTCTCAGATTGCTTTTCTCTCCCCAGACCCAAATAGACGACGTGAGGCCACAATCCCCTCTCACCTCCCACTCCTGGTTGTAAAAAGGAGGAGGGGCCGCGTCCGAGGAGAAATCGGAGTCGGATGGAGGGGGCCCACTTCGGCGGGAGGAAAGGCAGATCCTTCCTACCAGAGCAGCGGGAGCGGGGGGACCCCGGCCCCAGGCCACCTCAACCGCGCGTATGAACGTAGCTTTAGTGAGGTTTTGAGAAAACTAAGTGTTGGTGCGGCGGGAGGAGGGGGCGGTAAATAGTTATAAAAGTAAGTAACCTGAGACCGAGTGTATAGGAACACAGTACGGTTTAAAGCGAGTCTTGAAATGCCTGTTTTCCCTAGTTCTTTGGCCGTGTGGTCATTCAGGATCCCATCTTCGTTGCAGAAGCAATAATTTGATCCTCTATTTGGAATCTGGGTAGAAAAGTTTTAATACGTATTTGAAACCAGGGCATTTGCTAATTAAAGAGTTTTCAAAACACAAAGAGAGGTTATCCTTGTTCGCGGGTAGCGTTTTCTGACTGGCAAGCGTTCTTTTGTTCCGTCAAATATTCGCCCTGCTTAAGGCACTGGGCGCTCCCGCGCGCTCTCCGATTACTCCCGGCGAGGTCAGAAGTGACCGCGGGCGGGGGTGGGGGCGCCTCTCCGCTCTCGCGGGACCGAAAGGAATATCAGAAATTCCCATGCAGGAAAGAGACGTGTTAAGAAAGGAAAAAAATCTGCCTCTCTCTCTGTCATACACGCACATGCAGACACACACAGTCACAGAGCAGTCCTATGCTTTAAAAAACGTTACTCCTGGGCGAGCCCTTCCTTCTGCCAGTCTCGGTTCCAAGCGCTGGAACCCCGAGGGATTTCTGATCAGCCTTCCTGTTTGCAGAGGCTGCTGCTGCCTTTGCGGAGCCTCTTCCCCAAGCAAGAAAAACAAAAACAAAAACAAAAACAAAACACTGATCCTGAAATCTAAGACAATTAATTCGGTTCCTTCCCTTCTACTGGAGATTTTGGCTCTCTCTGCTTTTCTTTTATTTTCTATTACTGAAAGTTACTGGGCATCTTTCCTTCCGCTTCACAGGTCGTTTCTCACTTCTGTTAAGGGGTCTGGAGGGCTGAATCATTTGAGACGATGTAGGGCGTCAGACGTTCACATTCTCCATCGGGTCCTCAACAGGAGTCCTCATCATGTTCTTCCTAAGCATCTGTTTTCCCCTTCACATCCGCGACAGTATTTTAAATTTCTTTGTGGAGTTCTGCCTCAAGGTAATATGAAGGATTAATGATATTTGCTTTAAAAATGTTTCTTTCCTTGTATTTTTAAAAGGGCTCTTTTTTTTCTTTCTGAATTATTATTCGTATTACCTAACATCGGGGAGCATTGATGTTGCTTTGAAAGATGTTGTTTAAGAACAATGCTGCTGCTGCTTTACTTTGTCATTGAAAGTGTGTGTGGTAGGGGGTTGAAAATGCTTTTTTCTCTCCAGGAGCTTCAGGATATCCTCCTTTTCTAAATCAAATTTTCTTGCTTATTTATCAAGCCCCTGATCTAACTCATCTTTGCTTATTGAGGGAGAAATTGCAAGCACTGTCATGAAATAGAATGAAAACCAACAGAATAAAATACTGTGCCTCAAATACAACAAAAATCAGTTTAGTCGGTGAGCTCCAACTCATAGACTCAGACAGCTCCCTGGTGTTAGGTAATAGGGATAATTATTCAGGGGAAAAAAATCCCTTAAAAATACAAAAGATGAATGAAATTAAGAAAAAACAACACAACAATCTACACATAAGATGTAGAAAACCCATCTCAGGTGGAACATAGCACAGGTGGGAGAACTCTTGCTCTGTCCCAGGCAGACAAGTATGAAAAACAGAGAAGCAAACCCCAGCTTATTGGAGAGTGTTTTGTTTTTTTAAGATGCCTTTTAAAAATCCACCCCAAAATTTTTCTGGAAAATCAGAATTTGCTGTTTGAGGAAGTGCGGTAGCTTTCCATACCTTGCCTGATACAGAATGCTGTGATTTCAAGGAGATAAATTAGATCAGGAAAGTAAGTTTACAATGTAGGGCTAAGTAGCCTGTTTCAGGTTGTATGAGAAATGTAACATTGGTTCACATTCTGTCTAGGGTCAGTTTAATTTCCTTTTACAAACAACACCTTCCACACCCAATTCCTGAAGCCACTAACTGATATCTTCTTCAGTGAGCTAAGGGCAGAAAATTTTCTAAGTGTCTGCTGCAAAACTTCAAATTGCCCCTGTCCTTTAAAACAACAAAGGCTTTTATTTCTTCACATCACAGTCATACGGTCCCACAGAAAAGTGATGCTATTCATTGACCCCAATTATTTAAATGTTACTTATTTTGGCCAAGTCCCAGCCTCATCCAGTTGAATTGCACTCTGATGTCAGAACATATTTGAAAATGGCCACCTTTGCGGTGCCACAATTCTGTGGTTGCAGTGAAACTTCCAGCTGCAAGAATTACTCATGCAAAACCAGAAAGGGCAGCTTACAGCATAGCATCTACTTCCCTTTATGGCCTCTTTTTTACCAGACAACTTATGACTTCGTAACGTAGAGGACTTGGAATTTCCAGTTACCAGGTTGCCATTGACTTCTTTTCAATTTAGTTTGGAGTGTCGGATCATTCCCCAAATTGGAACAGTCTCGTCCCTAAAGCAGACTTTCAAGTGCTGTGAACATTAGAGATGTCTAGATTGAATAAGAGGAGCCCATACTAAAGGCCTGTTAGGTGTGCTAGGCCCCACCCAGTGGAGGTGACTTATGTCAGGAAAATGTTTGACCCTTTCCTTTGTTGCTTGGGAGTTGTACTAGTTATCTATAGGTATATAACAAATTACTCACAAACTTAGCTTAAAACAACAAACATTAATATTTCACAGTTTCTATGTGTTAGAAATCTGGGTGTGCTCAGTGGGTCCTCTGGCTTGGGGTCTCTCATGATACTGAAATCAAGGTGTTGTTTGGGACTGTACTTACCTGTAGTTTAAGGTTTGATTGGAGGAGGATTCACTTCCAAACTCACTCATGGCTATTGGCAGGCCTCACAGTGTCCAGTTCCAATTCATTACTTGACTGTTGGCAGGCCTCAGTTTCTTACTAGCTGTGGGCCAAAGACATCGTTCCTTGCAATGTGGGCCTCTCATAAGGCCACTTAAGACATGCCACCTTGTTCTGCCAGAGCAAGTGCTGAGAAAGAGGGGAGGGAAGAGAGAGAGAATAAATGAGGGAGAGAGAAAACAAGCGCACAAAAGATAGCAATAAAGGTGGAAGTCATAGTCTTTCTGTAATCAACCTTGGAAGTGAAATCCTGTCACTTTTGCCATATCCTATTCATTAGAAGCAAGTCATTAGGTCTAGCCACACTCAAGGGGTGGTAGGGGCTATACTTGGGCATGAAAATCCATTGGAGGGTGAGGATCACTGGGAGTCAATTTAGGGAGATCACAAGGGTTATTCATTAATTCCCAAAGTATTATGGAGATGAAGCCAGAGAGAGAAACAACTCTTGGGTCTCTGCCCTTTGGGAGCCCAGAGAAAGGGTCACAAATAAAAAACACATGTTAATTGCTTATGATGCTACTTGCCTCTGTTAGAGTCAGAATAGAATCCTAACTCTGGCCAATTGTGTTTTCCAACACATGCCTTTGGACTATAGGGAGAAAGAATACAGAGAAAGTTGACTAGTTGAAGACAACACGTAACCCTGGAGAAAGCCTCCAAGAGCAGAGGGTAGGCCATTTTGGGGAGTGAAATATACATGCAAAGGACAGAACATTGGGACTACAGCCTGTAGAAAGAGACTTTGGCTATTTGGGTTATGCTATAAAAGCACTGTTGGTAATTGCTACCCATGCCTTTAATGACAGTCTGCAGGGTACTGATGTGCAGGAAGGGTGGCAGAGGTAGTTAGTACAGACCACTTTAGTTCTGCATTTCACCATTGATTTCCTGTCCTGCCTCAGGCAAGTCATTTAACCTCCCTGGTTCCCTCAGGGTGTTGGGAGAGTTAATGAGATAATACTTAGGAAATGTTTTATGGTCTACAGGCAAAAACATCATAAGGGCAGAATCCTGGTTTAGTTATATAGATGCAAATCATAGAGATAAAATAAAAGACCAAGTTAGGTGCATATTTTGTGGCTCCGGCTTTCTGCCAAGGTTGTGACTTCTTATAGTGGTATGCAGACAAATGTTTAAGAACCATCTTTTCATGAAAAAAGCCCTGATCTATATACATTTGTCAATTTCCATGATGTAAATGCTGCTATGATCACTGATTGCTGTACGACTGAACTTGGAGTTTGGAAAGATGCACATAATAAGCTCTCACAAGAGCTGGTTCTAGCACACCACTGGGTTTACAGAATTTACTCTCTTTAGATTATTCTGAGCATTAAAAATTTTGATGCTCA